CAGTTAAGACATTCCCTTAATTACTATTTTCGTAATTTAATTGCCAATCACACAACTATTCTTTAACATCTCATGGCTTCTACTTATTCTCAGATACAACAATTTGTAAATCTTTACAAAACATTATCAACTTTAAAACCAAGTGTCCATAACGATATGACCCGATGCATTAACATAATTATTTTACAATGTAACATAAAAAATATTACAATTCTAATATAATGATTGATAATTGGATGACAACAGTGAAAAGGTGAAGGTAGAGTTGTAACTAAATTTCTCAATGAAGATTATGATGATGACAATGCTAATGGTAATGAATGAAAATGATGATTATTGTGAATGGCAATAATGATCATGATGAAAAACATTACAATAAAAGTGAGAAAATAACAACAATAACATTTTTAACATTCAAGAACCATGCCAACATATTCTGTCAAAGATTATGCACTTAATCATGAATGGCATTAACTACATGAAATCTTCTAAGAATACACTCTGTCTGAGGTTCTTGCCTGGTATGATAAGTAAATGTACTAATAAATTTCACCTTCATGATCCATTGTTTCTAATAATCTTCCTTTAGTTTGTATTATGTCATTTCCGTATATATGAAACCATTATAAACCATCTCTAACTATTTTCATCTAATTAATTCTTACAAATTCTGTAATATGTGTTAAGAAGACATACCCACAACTACTCTTCCATGTGAATATGTGGATTCTCCCATTGCAAGCCAATAATGGGTTAATGGTTTAAACAAATAAATGTGCTAGACACCAAGGTCATAGAGCACTATAAACCAATAAAAACAAAACAAATATATAAACATGGAAAGTTATTAATGAGTAACTCAACTCTTTTGGGTTTGGTTATGACATGAACCTGGAGAGAACATACAGATAACCATCACTGACAAGCTACTTTATGAAGCAAAGATAGACCTGCCCGTAGCTGACATATGTGCATACATATATATATATATTTTTTAAAAGAGATTCATATCTCTCCCTGCAATCTATGATAAATGTTGGATACAAATCTCCACTAACTCAACTGAAAATGCAGAAAAAAAAACTTATTTCTTATATACACATGTACATACATATACTGTATATATATATATATATATATATATATATATATATATATATATATATATATATATATATATATATATATATATATATATATATATATCTTCTCTACATTTTGATATCTGATAAATCCTGTAAACTGTAAACAAACGGTATTTCAACTACATAAAACAGTGAAGTCCTGACCTACTGCATCACACCTCTTCTTACTAGTTGTGATATAAAAAGCACTACAAGCTTCCTGACACCATATTACCACTACACAACACTATCAAATGTAAGTGGCAGCAATCCACAGTACAAAAACAACACCCATAACACAAATACAATTCATATATATTGTAATAGTTAGTTATCTAGATGAATGAGTACAAAATATCCAATGAAAATATATATCAGTTGTGCAGGTAACAGTAGTAGGGGGTATCTGATTCATGGAAGCAATACATATATTAATATATTTTGTGCTATTTATATAGAACAAAATAATGAGATCTTGCACGTGATAAGGTTATACAGATCTTCAAAGAGGTTACACGCTTCGGAAAGAGAGATAATCAATACAGCTGAGAAAACAAGGAGAGGTTGTTTGTACACTGAAGGAAGTTAATGGTTTCAAGTATCCTGTCCATAATACATAGCTATTACTTCTGACGGACACAAGAATCAAATTTTCGGAAACTGGCAAAGCACTGGACAATTTGATCCTCTCGAGATTCCCTACGTAAGTTACCTAAAGTTTGGAGAATTTCCAGTCTGCCCTTCATATGACTATCTGATATTTGCTTTCTACAATTAAATCATTGTCAACTAGATTAAGAAGTGTGGGTCATGACATTTAGGCTGAAATGATGATTAACTTTTCTCTGGCTGGGAATGTGGCTTCTTACCATCCATTATACATGGAATGCACAAGTTTAACTTTATAATTTTGTTTACTTTCCAAATCTACAGTCAATGCAGAAAGAAACATATAAACACACACTGCGCACATCATATACACCTACATACACACAAGTAATAATTTTCTGTTTCTGTTTGTATGTCTACCTGCCTTCATGCCTATAGAGTGGTCTACTTGTGTGTATTACATGGAAAAATAACTAGCCTGATTATAAATAGTAAAACTGAATATGTAATTTGTAATGTGCTTATGCACATCAATTTTGGTTCAGTCTGAATTTCATTCAACATAGTTAACAAGAGTTAGACCCAAAATTACTTAAATTGTAAAAAAAAAAAATCATTTACACTCTGTAACTTACAAACTTTATCATAAATCATCTAAATATCATCTGATATAAATCAATAAAATATCATATACTTTGTAAAATTCAATAAATATCTACCAGCTACACATATTAACATTTATTCCAGCCACCAAGCCATCCCCTAAG